CTTCTTATCCCCTCTCCCCTACCCCCTTCCCGTCTCCTTTGGCCCAGTGGTCCAAGGCGCTGCCCCGAACTGGCAGTCAGGGTTCGGTTTTGCTGCGCGGCGGACGCCTACCGTAACCCTGTTTGCTATCCCGCGGACGGTTACCGGCCGGTAATCAAACCAACGAGACTGTAGTGTACCTTTAAATGCATTAGGGATTTACCTTGTCATTCGGGGCCCAATCTTGCCTCGAGCGGTGAAGACGTCACCAGGTCGCATTGGACGTTTCAGGCAGCGTCGCCAATCTAGAAGAGTTTTTTAGTATTAAGAAAAGTTAAGAAAATCCATAGCTTTACCTTACATAGCATTTTAGAGGAACTCTGAAGATCAAAAACTCACACATGCCCGGCCCCGGACCACCCCATACCACATCTAACAGCGCAGGTAAAATTAGTAGGAATTCCCGCATTAGTGACGTGTTTGTCACGCAAAGTAGTGGTGGCGTTTGCCGATCGTATAAATACCGTCGACACCATAAACCGTGAGATTCGGGTGCCGCCTAGCGTGCGTAGTTTCGCGTAAATAACTACAGACACCCCATCAAAGATCTGAGAAACAGGTCCATAGCGTCGAAAGATTTTTAGCTTGGATTGGCGGATTCCTTTAACAAGAAAATATTTATCAAGACCAATAAATCGGCTTCAAGCCCGGAATATTGGAAAATTGAGGTTGAGGTTGTGGTGCGGCTCCTTGCATCACGAATTGCCCCATGTCGATATTGATATCCAAATCGTCCAAAGACAGCCCGCCCTTCTTCCCATTGTTTCCTCTGCCAGAACCATCGGATCCGTGTCCGCGTCCGTTGTTCCTGGAGTCCGGCCAGCCCCCGAAAGTAGATAAATAGTCTATAGTTGTGTGTAGTGACATAACGTTGATGCTTTTATAGATTGTGTTAAGCTACACAAACGGACAGCTAACCGAAACGCGTCCGCAACCAGGGCGCAAAGCATTCCACACGCAGTCACAAATAACCCGCGACGCAACCGGAACGAGCCCTCGATTCCCCGTATCTACCCTCGATTACCTACCCATCATCATGACGGTCCCTCGACCTCGATCCAGAGTCATAGCGATGCCTGTCTCGTTTCTTGTGCTCGTGGCTATGGCTGTCGCTGTGACTATGGCCATGACTATGACTATGCTGATGGGGCGGGGTCGGAGCTCGACGAGTTGTAGTTGGGGGCGGAGGCGGTGGAGGCGGCGGTGGAAGTGGCGGTGGAGGTGGAGGAGGAGGCGGCGGTGGAGGACGCGGTGGAGGAGGTGGCGGTGGCTTCGTGTCTGAGCCGAATGCCGGGCAAACGGCCAGCCAATCGTGGATCTAAAAACGACACCTACACGAAGAAGTTCAGCTTGGAGTTCAGGAACTTAGGCATAGGTTCAAGTTTGGGCGTATGCTTAGGCTTAGGCTTAGGCTTCGGCAACGGCTTAGGTTTTGGCTTTGGCTTAGGCGCGCTTATCCATGGTTAGGTTTAGCCATAGGCTTCGTCTTAAGCCTGGCTTAGGCTTAGACATGGGCGTGGGCTTAAGCCCCGCTTGTCTTACGTCATTCAAGCGGAAATTTCGACCTACCACATTATCAGCCAACGCATCGCCGCTCATCGTCACCGAGTTGATACCGCCATTGCACTGAAAGAGATTCAACGATGCCTTGAAAACAACTAAACCTGAAAGTACCTAACCGACCCAATCGGTGTCTGCCTTCCCTTAATATCGAAGGTGGCCCCAGGCCATCTGTTGTTACCACCGTAGGTGACTTGGACTCGTGACTGCGAGATGACTCTGCAAGGAATAGAAATTATCTGGTCAGGTACAGGAAACTACCACCAGGACATCACATACCACACAAAAATACCCACCGGATCGTGATCACAAAATTCGTGCCGGGAAGAAACGGTAGAACGTTAAATGTGTTTGGAGGCTCCCAGGCCTGAATCGTTCGGCTGGAATGCACTCGCACTGAGGGCGAATCCCA